GCCGCCGGCGGCGCCCGTTTCCCGGTCGGGACGAACCCTGACGCGGACACCTGTGGTGGATGTTTAGGTGTCTTCGAGGGGGGGTTGTTTCGTGATGCAGAACAGCTGGTATCCGGGTGAAATTAGCTCCGAACGGCTTGAAGTTTGCGTGTGGAACCGATTTCAAACCGTAGCGTGTTAAATATTGTTCACGAGGTTGCTTGAGGCAATTTGGGGTCGAACAGCACCGCCGGGGGGGTCGGGACGGGCCGGCGGGCAGTTTGTCGAGAAACCCGGGGATGCTGCACTTTTGTCCCCTGGTCTATGTGCTTTTTTTTTCTTCTTGTCCAACGCGCTTTCTGCAACGTTTACTTCGTTTCTCTCAACCGGCGTCTCGTGGGGGTTGAGTTGTGGGTGAAAATTGTTCATTTAACTGTAGCAGGTTTTTTCGGAATTTTCTGCCGTACAAGCCGAAAAAGGGGGGAAAGTACCCCATGTCTGGACAGGCAAAATATCGTCCATAGGTATTCGATTGCCGCATTTTTTTTTTGTGAGTCCGAGTAGGACGCATACAAGTCATTAGTTAATCAAATTACTACGTTTGCATGGTTTCAAGGCAAGAGAACACGCAGTACCACCCAAAAGGGGTATATTCCGTTCCTCAAAACTCGGCCGAAAAACCGGGGATATGGGCATTTTGTCCCCGGGTGTGCACCGATTTTTTTTTTTTGTATCGAACATACGTCATACTAAGAGCCTGTGTACCAAATTTCAGGTCGTGGAACGCTTTAGAACGTGCGTATCCGGCCACTACCGGAAAGGGTCCTTAATCCCTCCCCTCCTTTTGACCCAAATTTTACCTAGAACGTGAGGTATACTTCAAGGTCCATATATACTCACCACCTTCACTTTTTTCAATTTTCTTTCTTTATCATGTAGTCTATGTTATAGGCTATCGTATGATACCTTGATCTCTTCATGACTCATCTTGAATCCAGAGAACAAGCTGCCTAAGTGGGGGGTGCGTTAGGGGGTCCTTAATACCCGTCCTTACTCTAGTGCATGAGCATCGTACGAACGTTTCATGAACGTTGTATGAGCGCCTATTGGATATTTCGAATTTTCTTTGGATATGGGTATTTTGCGTCGTTGAGGGTATTGAAGTAGCTTGCTTGAAGGGAGATCAAAATCCCAGCCCCGGTCCCTCACTCTCCGAGTGGGCGCTGAGCGGACCTGGTCTAAGAAGGCAAGAACAAGAGATAAAACAACAACTGTGAGTACCCGAAGCCAGGAGCGACGAACTTGCTCCCTCCCTCTTTTATTTCTCTGTTCCTCCATAACATTGTGGCGTCGTCTGGCATTTGGACACCGGTCCTTCGCTTCGGTGCTCATCGTTCGCGTGAAGCGTCTCGCATGTTATTCCTTTCAATTGTTTTTAGTTCCCTGGGTTTAGAGAGGGCACGGTTTTGCGCTCTGACACACGCGGTGGGACACTTTTTGTTTTGGCGATTTGGTTTTCTCCGGGTCGTGTGCGCGACGGGCGTACAGACCCCAAACGCGAGGGCCCCCCCTCCCATGGCTTTGTGTTCACCAAGGAAGGGACGGCTTGGTGGACGTTGGCCCTTCTTTCCTCATTTCCTCGGCAAACATGCTCGCGTAGGATTGCTCTCCATCCATGAGTGCTTCGACCTTGTGCACGACATGCATGTTACAAAAGACATGCCCCTTTGTTCCCAAGACGTTCATTTCACACAGACGTCCTCGGGCTCGCCTTTGTTAGATTCCCAACCTTTAAATTTCTCAGTTGTCGCCCCACGCCTCATCACAGCCTGTGTTGGATGACCGTCGTGACTCGTCGGCGCCGAATACAATCTTGTGGTGTGGGCGGGGGGCCGACAAGACTTCGGGTGTCTCGCGGACGCTCGCCCCGATGTCTACGCCCCCCGGAGGCATGGCTTCGGCTTCTCCCACCGTTTCGGCGGCTCCGGGTGGGCTCGTCAACCACGCTGGAGCACAGGGACCTTCGGGACAGCCGCAGGTCCGCCGTGGTGGCTCGAGTACGCTTGTACCCACCGTGCCCCCTCCAGACCCCTTGCGACGTTCCTGTAAGGAGCACCAACGTCGCACGGTGCTGACTGCACCACCGTTGCCTAGCGCAAGTAACGGTTTCCCAAAATCGGAAGGTTCATGTGCTTTATCACGAAATAGCGGTCCCGAGCCTCCCGCGACCGCTGGTCATGTTGGTTGAGCGCCCGCGATGAAGGCCGCTTTTAATGAACGCGCCTACGCCGACGTTTTGCGGAACAAAATCCGCGTAGACCGCTTGGTTTCGCACGCTTCTGCGGTTGGTTCACCGCTTTTGCCTGCCTCTCCTCGTAACTCACAATCCGGCCCGCCTTCGGGTGGCACCCAGATTGTCCTGCCGGTTGCCGGTGCCATTTCCCTTGATGATATTTCTTCGGGGAAGGTAAGCGCACCCGCGCGGCAGGCCCTTGTTTTTGACGGTAGTCAGGAATATTACAACGATGAGGTTTTCATCTTTTGGAAACCGCCGTCCATTCTGTCTAAGTGGACGCCCTGTGAGTTCTCGGTTCATGGTATTCATTACGTGTGCGACGAACAGTCCATGATGGCGGAGAAAGCCCGTATTTTCGGCGATGATGCCGCTGATGCTAAAATCATGGGTACCTCCGACCCGAGAGAACACAAGTCCCTTGGTCGCAAGGTACGCGGTTTTGATCATGCCCTCTGGGAGCTCCGACGCGAGGATGTTGTCTTTTCGCTTTTGAATACAAAATTCGCCCAAAATGCTGACGCGCGCGAACGTTTGTTGGCTACGGGTGATAGATAGCAGAAGCTAGTCCTTATGACGGATTGTGGAGCATTCGTGTTGATGCCTTCGATCCGCGTGCGGCGTCGCCTTCCAAGTGGACTGGTAATACCCTCTTGGGCAAAGCGCTTGTTGCGACGCGCACGCTGCTGCGTGTGCGTCCGGTCGAACCCGATAAGCCCGTACGCCCTGAACACTCGGGGCAACCTGCCCCCGTGTGTCCCGCTATCCACGAAATTGCGCCCCCGGGTGAGGATTCTTCGGCTGATGATCCCACTTCCGAGGACGCGCGTGGCCCCTTGGAGGTGCCAATGATGTTTTGCGTGGTGTTTTATTGGATTGTGATACCTCTACGACGCGAGTCCGTGTGTATAGTGGTACCGGCGCCGTGTGTGCAGCACCTGGTGTAGCCCTTTTAGAGTCGGGCTCACCTTCATCTTTCATTAGTGTTGTTTTTCTTGGAGCCATGGAGGCGTCAGGAGCTGCATCTGTCCACAGTCATCGTTCGGTGCCCGTTCGGCAGTGGGGTGGTTTTGGTTCTGGCAATGCTCTCGAAACCACCTCATCCATGCGGCTGTCCGTTCAATTTTTTTATGGTGGTAGTGCCACCGCTTCATTAGCGGTGTGGGTGTATGTTGTCCCAGCTGCCGCCATGGGTCACGCCCTCCTTCTGGGACGTGATAATTGGATGCATTTTGACTCTCGTTTGTCCACTACTTTGCCCACGCGGTCGGCAAGTGGGCACATTATGGAGAAACTTTCTCTGTCGTCAGATTTTGCGGCGGGAGCTTCCGCGTATGTCGCTGGACCCTCCACCCCCGGGGCACCTTACTTCCTGCGGTACGCCGGCAGGAAGGGTGTCTCCCTTTCCGATAAACCCACATTGACTAGGGTGAACCTCGTTCGTAATTCTGGCACTCCTGCTCTCACCGGCAACTATCTTGTCACGTTTTTACCGAAACACGGCGCCCTCTCGGCGTCGGACGCGTTTGTTTCGGACGGGCCTCAACACATCCCTTTCGCCGAGTTGGAGCCCGGTGATGACGTGCTCGGAGTGGCGACTGCCCCACTTGTACAGATTCCGCTTGCGTCGATTGATCCCACACCGCAGACGGCCGAAGGTGTTGGTCGAGTGACCCTTCGCCGCCAACCCGTTCCGAGGGTAGGCCGCCGTCTCGCGTGAATTCTTTGCATTCGAACATCCCGGTTGCGGATCCGAGAGATCTCGGACTGTCCCACGGCCTCACTGCTGCCGAAACCGCCGCCACCGGACCTGTTGGAACGCCTCTCGGACGCACAGCGAGTGAGTTTTCGCGAGTTTTGGCAAAGTTTGTCTGCACATTTGCACGATGTCACGTTTGATTTACATGACTCGGTTTGGACCCCGGAAGCCATCAACAGCCTGGCGGATGTCCTGTGTGACTTTTCGGATGTGTTTTCGCGGTCACCGTCCAATTTCGGTTGCTGTTCCGTGAAACCGTTTCGTTTGGAAGGCCCCCGGGCGCGAAACCGTTGGCCTCGCGTCCCTATAGGCCCAACCCTCTGGTGGAGAAGAAGGTCGATGCAATGCTCGATCAATACCTTGCTGCCGGTCTTATTCAGCACTCGCAATCGCCGTGGGCGAGCCCTCTGGTTGCCTTGCCTAAAATGGAAGGCAATCTGTGTTTGACCGTGAACTGCAAAAAGCTAAACAAATTGTGCAGCCTTGGCCAACAACCGCAGCCGCGTGTTGACCACATCATCGATTCCCTGCACAAGGGCAAGGTGTTTTCCATTTTCGATCTCAACTCCACTTTCCACCAGATCACCGTCGAGGAGGACACGGTTCAGCTTACGGCGTTTTGCACGCCCACGCAACTTTTCGAGTGGCTCCGTATGCCCCGGGGAAGCTCCGTCGCACTGTCGTGGTTCACCATGGTCATCAACGAAGTGGTTACAGGTCTGGACCATGTGCTTGCGTACCTAGACGATGTGATTGTGTTTGACGCCGACCCCGTCCACCATGTCGCCAACATACGGTTATTTTTGGAGCGTTTGCGCAAGTACAACCTAACATTTCTAATTTCAAGAGTCGCATCGGCGCTAAGGAGGCTGTTTATTCAGGCCACACCACTCCCCTGCGGGTGTTAGTCCTCGTGCCGATGAGGTCGAAGCCCTCCCAAAAATGCCGTGGCCTCACAACGCCAAGCAGCTGCGTTCCTTGCTGGGTGGGGGGGGGCTGTACTCATAGTCGTGCATGCCGTAGTCGTTAGACCATTGACCTCGCATCCCTACAAAGCCGGGACGGAGCACGCCGGGTTCTCACCAGACCAGGCTCTCACATCACCAAGCGCGAAGCGCCGTGAGGTATTCGGCGAGTCGCATGAAGGGTGCGCTGCATCCTGCTAAGGGTGTTCGGAACCTTGTGCTTACTTCCTTGCGTACGGATGACAGCTGCGATGACTTTATTTTCTGGTGCTTTTCACTTCCAGAGACAGTTGTAAGCACTGTGTAACTGCCTCGAGGGTGCTTGACTATTTTAACACAACGTTGTGCGATCATCCCCCTTGCGCGTAGTGAGGGTTCTCCACCCCTCACAACATGATCTACTGGACCACCATTATGGTTACCGCCAAAAAAACANAAAGCACTGTGTAACTGCCTCGAGGGTGCTTGACTATTTTAACACAACGTTGTGCGATCATCCCCCTTGCGCGTAGTGAGGGTTCTCCACCCCTCACAACATGATCTACTGGACCACCATTATGGTTACCGCCAAAAAAACAAGAGGTAAAAAAAACGGTAACCTGGTTGCCGAGTTCACGAAGTGAATTGGCTTGTTTTACAACGTCGTTGCCAAGCGACGAAAACCCAATGGGGGTTTCCTTGCCGGGTGGGCTTTTGTATTACCGCAAATTTATCAAGGGTTTGGCCGTGCGCGTGAAACCAGTCACCGACCTTCTGCGTAAGGACGCGAAGTTTTTTTTTACGCCGACTATGGCGGATACTCTCAAAAAACTCTTGGCGAAACTGTCCGAACCTCCGGTTTCGGCTTTCCCGGATTGGGACGCTGTCGTGGATGGCAGCCGCCCTCTCCGGCTTTGCTGTGACGCCTGTGTGGATGGTTTTGGTGTGGGTCTTGAACAGGAACAGGCCGATGGTTCCGTTCGCCCCATTCTGTTCGTTAGCCGCGCTACGCTCGAATCTGAGCGCACTTGGACAGTGCTCGACTTAGAGGCTGGAAGCATCGTGTGGGTAATCAAACGCCTGCCCGGCTTGGTCTACGCACTTTCTGATTTATTCGGATCACAAGGCTTTGGAAAGCATCGTCAAGGTGGGTGAACGCAACGCCCGCGTTCAACGTTGGCTCGAGTTCCTTTCCTCGTTTAATTTCCCCCTTGTCTATCGCAAAGGCACCGCCAACGCCAATGCGGGTTTTCTTGCGCGGTTGCCCTTGCCGGCGACCTACGCGGAGAGACACGGTGACACCACTATCGCAGTCGATGACGCCTCGGGCGTTTATCTCATTCGTGCGTGCCGACGGAGGTATCACTCTAGTTCGACGCCGGACATCGGCTTGGGTGGTGACATTGATGATCAACGAGACGCGTTGGCACACTCGCCTTCTTTGGAGGACGACTTTGGGGACTTCCGCCGTTTTGAGCCACAAATGGTCCTGCCGGCTCGGTCGCCCTCCTCCGTAGTTGACTCGTCGATTTTTTCGCCTCCTGGTGTTTTCGCTGTCGTTTGCGATGCAGCCCCCTTGAGTTCTGTGCCCGATGGACCTCCTCCGGCTTCCGTTTCTGCGGAGCCAGACGTCGCTCCCCACCGTCGGAACCTCCTCAGCTGCCCTGTTGCTTTCTCGTGGCCCTCTGATTTCTTCTCGTACTCGGGCGAGAACGAATTCGGCCTCTGGCATGTCTCACAGCCGTCTCAATTTTTTTCCGAAACAACCACGGGCCGTTGGGGTGCCCAAAACGCCGCGGCCTCCTCGAACGCCGGCCCGGTCGAGCGGTACCGCGCGGTCTGCGAGAGGCGTGGTTTGCCCTACTTCTGGCCCGCCGCCTTCTTCGGCGCCGGCTGAGTTGCCGCCGCCGCCGCCGCCCGCGCCTGCTGCCGCCACCCCGGCGCCAACGCCGCCCGCGGCGCCCACGCCGCCAGTGTTGTCGCCCGCGGGTACTAGCCCTGAGGTTCAGGTGGTGCCGCCCGCGGCCGCTGAGGAAGCTCACCTCCGCGGCTGTGTGCACACATTCTCGCGTGCCGATTGGGCCCGCGAACAGATGTCGGAAAGTGAGTGTGTGGCGGCTACACATTTTTTGACTTCGGGATCCCCCGTGGTTTTGCCGGATACATTCTGGGATTGCTTGCCCTGTGCGCGACGGCCGGCGTTGTCTGATGTCGTCGCCCTCGCATCTAAAACATGCCTGCACACTACAGACGATGGTACGCGATTGTTGGTGCGAAATTCTGTCCCATTGCCTGTCGGTAGTTCGGGCGGGCGTATCACTCGCGTCTCGCCTTCGAAGACTCCGCGGATATACGTGCCTTTGCTGTTGCGACCTTGGGTCCTACAAGCATGTCACGCCACCGCGTCTTTTCACCTGGGTACCGCTCGGACGTTACGTATGTTGGAGCGATTCTTGTGGTGGATTGGGATGGACTTGTCCGTTCGTTGGTGGCTTGCGCATTGCTTAATTTGCCAAGCGCGCAAGACTTTCCGGCAAACGAATCGCTGGCCTACGCTCACTCTGCCCCTCCCGAATGGGCCGGGTATTGTAGTGAGCGTCGATTTTTTTGGGCCATTGCCGGTCACGTCCCGTGGGAATGCATAAATACTTTCATTTACGGACCGATTCAGTCGACGGGCGGATATGCATGCCAATACCAAGGCGGAATTTACCGCTAAGGGAACGGTTAACGTTTTCGTCAACCGCTTCATGGCGTTGTCGGGTTGTCCGGTGACCCTTCTATCGGACAACGGTATGCAATTTTGTTCCAATTTGTCCATGGCTATTTACGAGCTGATGAAGATCAAGAAAGTCACCACCAGTTCGTACCACCCCCAAACTAACGGGGAGGCCGAGCGTGTTAACCACACCATGGCTCAAATGCTCGCTGTTGTGGTCAATGAGCGCCAGGACGATCGGGACGTCCATCTTCCCCATGTCGAGTTTGCATACAACAGCTCGGTAGACACCGCCACAGGCATTGTGCCGAATGAAGTGCATATTGGACGGTTGCCCCGTCTCCCGCTTTCTGTTTTGGATCACCCTAGCGTGGGTGGCCATCAATGTTTGGATCGAGACCAGCTCGGTTTCTGCAATCTTGCGGTGGAACGCCAGAGACGAGTCTACGCTTTGGTGCGGGAACAACATGCGATTACGGTGTCGCGTGTCGGACGTCGGAAGTCTGCGCAGTTGGACGGTTTGCGTCAGATTCCGAAGTACGACGTTGTTGGTGGTTGGGCTTGGGTCTACAACTCCGCCGCTACTATTCGGCAGGGTGTGCGGAAACACACCGAGGATTTGGTGCTCAAACCGAAGCTTTCGCTCAACTATACCGGACCGTATAAGATCCTTGCTGTTGGTCCGGCCAAAATGGAGGATTCACCGGATGGGAAACCTGTGGAGCGCAAATTTCTTTACCTGGACCTACCTTCAGACATGCTGGGACTAGGATATCGCAACCGTGCCTCAGTCTTGCGGTGCAAACCGTGTACCAACCCACGCGACACGGATGACCTGCCTAAGAATATGCCGGCCAATCTGTCGAAATATGTTTTGCACTCGTACAGTAACAAGTCTCCCCCGTATAATTTGACTTCTGACGATATTGTAGCGGAGCCTAGTAGTCTAGACTAGATGTTGACAATATTTTGGGACACCAAATTGTACGTGGACGAGGTGGTGTGTTAGCCGTTTTGTACCTGACTCATTTGATGGCCTTGTTGGCGCCGTCGATGGAAAGAGAGTCATACAGAAAAACACATTTTGCTTTACTGGTCTGGTAACGCTAGTCAGCGCGTACAAGGGAACCGAGCGTGTCGTAACGCTCGGAAAGCTTCGGCCGACCGAGAATTTGCTCGGAATCAGGCCGAACGTTTCATTGCCCCCGGGTACGAGTTGGTTTCGCGTCACACTTGGTTGGCTTGCTTCTCTGTTTCTGTTTGCCTGTCGGAGCCCACATTTGGTGCAATGCTTTGGATGAACTTTGGTGGCTTGGGCAGATTGGTAGCTTCGCAACAGGCCAGTACATTGTTCGATTTTTGGGCACCACCGCCCCTCGACAGCTTTCGCCCCCGGAGTATAGGTACTCCACTGTTTTGGATGCTCCTTGCGGTTCTTGGTGTCTGCAATAACGCCGTACTCGTGGTTGGACCAACCCTTCCACGGACGATGGCGTTACGTCGCGAACACCAGGCGTTGTGGCACAGCTAGCTGTTGTCCCATCTGGATCTGGGCTTTGATATCATGCCGCCTACGGGCCGCTACATGTTTTTGTGTTTTGTTTTACATCGTCGTGGTACGCTAGCGCGTGTTTGGGTGATATGAGCTCTTTTGTTGTTGCAATAGTCACCCCGACCTTCGCGCTTCCAACACGACCGAACGAACCCCGCTTTGATTCACTCTGGTTCCGTCGTTGGCGATATGATTTTCAAGCCATCGCTGTGTGGTGCTGGGATGGTTTGGAGTATTTGTCAGGGATGAACTATTTTCTCCGACCCTAGTTGCTTATACATTTCTCATCCCGGTATTTACCATCGGGGTTGGGTTTTCGTCGCTTGGCAACGACGTTGTAAAACAAGCCAATTCACTTCGTGAGCTCGGAAATCAGGTTACCGGTTTTTTTTTTACTTTTTTTTTTTTGAAGTAACCATAGACTAGATGTCTAATGGTTGTCGAGTGGATCATGTTGGNCTGGAAGTGAAAAGCACCAGAAAATAAATTAAGTCATACGCAGCTGTCATCCGTACACAAGGAAGTAAGCACAAGATGCCGAACACCCTTAGCAGGATGCAGCACACCCTTCATGCGACTCGCCGAATACCTCACGGCGCTTCGCGCTTGGTGATGTGAGAGTCTGGTCCGGTGAGAACCCGGCGTGCTCCGTCCCGGCTTTGTAGGGATGCGAGGTCAATGGTCCAACGACTA